ATCGCCTGCGGACTCCTCGCGAGCGTTCATAGCGTGTAACATGTAGGTGTACGTGCGTGAAGCATCGATTTTCTAATGTATCCGTTATTACGAGTCGTAGGCGTGCGAGTGTGCGGACATACGTCAGACTAGCTAAAGTAGCGGAAGCCTGAGCGGCGATTTATGGGATTATCAAAATCGATTACAATGAAACACCAAAGCTACCGTAGTTAGCTATTACTTAAGTATAAACGAGAATAATAATATGGTACGATTTATATATATACATACAGGTAATTTTTAGGATAAATTCGCGATTAAGTGCGCGATCATCGGATGCGATTGGGGACAATTCAGTCGTTCTCGGAAAATGCACACTGTCTCTCTCGTCGATACGCTCTATACAGAAAAACGCGCGCAACGCGATAACGATCCACACGTACCCCTTTGGAAATATTGTCTGTCACCGTTGATGATTCGTATCAAGCTGGGCCCAGGAAGCGTCTATTAATCGCGCGCGGTTTTCCTCCGAGGGAGGAAGTATCGTTGCTGAATGGGACGAGCACTTTCGTCGTGGTGGCTTTCACAGGAATTAGGAACACGCGTGTTGCTAGGCTACGCCCTATAGTTACTCGTGCGTTTCTATAACGACTAATCAACGACTTAATAACGGCGAAATCGCAGATTCTATCATGATGGAATCTTGATTCCACCATAGATTTTATTCTACTATGATGTAAAATTATAAGATGTAAAAAGACCAGGTGTAATATTGCGCATAATGATAACCGAATAATTTGAGACAAATTTTTGACTGGTGGCAAATTTCTAATGGCGGCTATTAATTTAAAATTTGAAGCCAATTGGTCACAAATGTCTTCATTACTTCAAACTGATTTAAAGCGTTTACCTGGTCTTTTTACGTCATGGGTTCTACATTTTATTATCGAATGCGGGGTAGCTAAACTCTTGAGTTATGTTGGATCTGTATAAGACACAGGGTCTCATACATACGTTGATAAGCCATTGGAAACTGAGAACACTTAAATATTAAATTTTATGACGACTCAGGCAAGAGATTCAAACAAATTACGCTTGAATAACTCAAAATGAAGCTCAAGTTTGTTCAGACAGTTTGAAATTAACGGTTGATTTTAAAGTTGGTGATTGATCAGTTCGAAGATTCTGTTTGAGCCATGCCGGATCACTAAACATTAAAGCCAAAATAATTGTTACAAACAAAAAATAAATCTATTATAAATCCAAATTAGACCTGTGAGAACAAGTCTAATTGATCGAACAATTTGAATTATTCGATCGTACAAAAATTCTGAATGTTAGTTACAATGTTAATTACATTTTTGAATTTGAGAGACATACTTATCTCCCTTGAAGTATCTCCCTTGAATTCGAAGATGTAAAGAAAAAAAAATTTATAAAACATAATTCAAGTGACTCCAAGAATGACGATAGTTCCTTTCCTTTTTTTTTCTTCTTATTTTTTTCTTTAGTGATCTCTTATAATTCCTTTTAATCCTTTTATTTTTCTCAATACCGTCTTATATAGAGATGTTGTACCTCGAGTATATAGAGTCGCTGTGTTGTCTGTGATCGTATTTAGCAAAAACCAAGAAGCTATCACCATCAATTAAGTGTCAGAACCGAACCTGGAATGAAGGCGTGCATACAATGCTAGTCATTAATCTGCGAACGCTTACAAGAAGTTGTAAAAAATGAGAAAAGTGATCAATTCATAACAACTTCTTTTAAATTAACGATGCGTTAATTTATATTAGAAAGAAATTATTTAATGTACAAAATTTTATACAAAGCTATATAAATTATTACTTTTGTGTATATAAATTGCTTTTATGTCGAACACTCGATACTTCTCAAGCGTTGTCACATTAATGGCGGCTTTATAAAAGATTGGGAGAATATAATTAAAATGAAAGAAGAAATCTAGTAACATTAACGCGCGCGATCAACAGTGCAAAAATCGTTGCGATTATCTCGCCAAGTTAACGGAAGATTTATATTCGTTAGAATATATATATATATATATATATATATGCGTATTAAATATATACATATACAACAATATATATATATATATATATACACACATACACACATGGCACACACGCACACATTAACGTGTCGTATGTTTTTAAATTGGAGTGATTAATACCGTCCTGCTACTTCGAAATGTAAGCGCAGATTTGTCTGAGAGGAATCACGTTGATTACTTCAATTTGAAGATGGCGATACACTGCATTTATTATGTATATCTTATGGTCAATATATGTATATTTATACATATTATAATGCTAGCCATGGAGATATGTATAATTAAATACGTTTTTGAGAAATACCTACGTTCATCTCTGCCAGCATATTGATTGCATATTCAATATGTAAAATGTTATAACATAAATCGAGAATTGTGGGTATACGTTTTGAAATATTGAGCTGAAACTTTTCTAGCAGACTTTTGCTACATTTCCCATAGTCCACACTATTTCGAAATTATTTTAATTGCAAACGAGCAAACATTGGACACAAATTGGCACCTCTCTTTGTTTTTGTACGTATCCTAATGGAAGATTATATTTATATGCGCATAAATTGTACAAACACGGGATGCCGTATATTTTTTATAAATTTTTGTTACTTTTTGCGAGGCACGAAGTATTTTTGCAAAAATGTTTCTCTACACACTCTTCGTGTAGTAATCAGTAATTTTTGCTGATTACAATTCTTCATTGAAAGAAAGAAAAGCACAAAAATTCCTAAGAAAATACTCAAAAAGCATATAAAAATGAAAATAATTACTAATACTTAGAAATATTCATGAACATAGATATGTGATTTTGATTTAAATATAATTGATCGCGCGTTGTTTGATGTTTTATAGTTAAAAAACATGCCTATGAATTATAAATTGGAATAATCTTATACAAAACAAAGTTAATTGAAATTTACTTTTAACTGTTATGTATACTAAGTAATAAATTCTTGAAATAAATTGTGAATGTTCCTAGAAAGATAAAACTTCATTAAGCACGGTTAATGGTAAATCATTTGGAAATAATGGAATAGAAACGAATACACAAATTATTTAGAAATCATATTGGTTCTAATGAAACTTCATATTTTTTCACACGAACTGATAGGATCGCCGAATTTGCAAAATATCTTTTGACTGCAGAATATAACTTTAAGAGGTTAAAACACGATTAATTTCTATCGAAGCTAATGAAGAATATAAGAAATAAGGATAATTAATTGCAAAATAAATTAAAATTAATACTTAATTCACACAATGATGTTTTCGGGCAATAGCTCTGTGCCGAATCTTTAAAACTAGCGTTAAAGTAATGTCATATCACTGGCTCGATTGCGTGCATTTTAACAAATACGTTTAATAGGCATATCTTTAATTAATATGCGGCGCTGA